CGCGTTCTGACGGCGCTCTCTTCCGTCTCGGCCGCCGGGACCCTGGCCTCCAGCGACACCTGACGATTTCGTGTTCTGACGGCGCTCTCTTCCGTCTCGGCCGCCGGGACCCTGGCCTCCAGCGACACCTGACGATTTCGTGTTCCGACGGCACTCTCTTCCGTCCGAGCGACGTCTCGTTCCAGCGCACGACGGCCGCCTACTGTTCTGTGGCTTTCGGCAGCGCTAGCTCGGGCCCTAAGTTACGGCGCTGTCGGGGCGTCAACACCCTCTCCTACTTCTTTAGCCGATTCTTCCAATCCTTAGCTTACTATTTCTTGTGCTTCTACTTTTCGGACCTAAAGACCGACCAATACCCGATTCTACTCCCTCGACGGGAAGAACGACCGGTCGAGTTGAACTCGGAAGCAGGCCGTCTCAGGTCCCCTTACAATTTCGTTTCTCAACGACGTGTGCTTTTGGTCGACGTACAGACAGGGGGCGAGCGTCCCTTGCAGAGCGTCTCACCGTTACCTCACCGAGGAAGGCCATTGCGAAGAGACCATCCTTCTCGGCGCTGTCAAGGAGGATGACACTATAACAGCGCCGTCAAAAGCCAGAGGTGTTGAGCTATCCTCACACGCAAGTTCAGCTGTCCCGTTACGGACACCCTATCGTCGGTCGCTGCCGAACATGCTGCTTGGAATGCTTCAGCTTGGTCGCCGATCGTTGCATTACGTTGAGCACAACTTGTTAGTTGTCAGCTGTGGGCTGATAACCGAGACGGCGACTTTGCTGCCACTCGGCGCGTCGCTGAAGCGCCACCCATCGCCTCGTCCAAACAGTCCGCGTTAAACGGCGCTGCGTTTACTGACATCTTAAGGTTTTTCGCCATATTTCAGTGGGCTTCCTTACTGTTGTTTCTCACCATCACGTTCTCCCCAGATCCCGCCGCCGTTCGTATGTATTCCGCTCCCCAGTGTGCAGGCCGACTCGGCTACGTTGCCGCTGATGACACGCATCCAACCGGGTCTCCGAGTGGTCGCCAGCTTGGAGAAGTCTGCGCGGTCCCTCTCGAAGAGATAAGCCAGCAGTCAGTGCTGGTTCTCATATACCAGGCAATTTCTTCCTCTGTTCACTTGCTGACTTGTTGGCGCCTGCTACGATCTGAACATGGCCCGCTACGCTTTAAAGGAGGCCGCCTCCAATCCCCGAACCTTCTTGTGTGACGCTGGTAACGACCAGAGCCTCTCCAGGAGCGTCGCCTACGTACGGTCATACAGTGCGCTCAGTCTGCCCGTGTCTGAGAGGGCCTCGCAGACTGCTGAGCGCCTTACACGGCCGGACGCCTACGATCGCCGGTATCTGGCCAGCCTGCTGCATTTCGATGTTTCCTGATCTCTGGTTGCTTTGTGCCAGTTTCGTCGGCGTTGACTTTTGCTTGATTTGCCTCAATCCAGGCATCCACATTCTCTTCTATGCAACTGATGCCCCTTTCACATCGGTTCGGACTGTTCCATGCGTCTCAGTCAGATGTGTGTGTTTCTTGTGGCATCGAGGGTCCAGCTGCTGCTTGATGGCCTCAAAAACCCAGCTACCGCCTGATGTTTTGCTATAAGATATAAGCAACCAGCTTAGCGCGACTGATGAGCGTGGTGCATGGCGACACAATGCGTCGCATTCGGCGTCTCTGCCGCCCAGTCTCTGGAGCATCCACTCCTGACCGGATATCTTCAGATGAGTGGTGATCCTCGGCATCGGCACCATTCTCTTGCATCGGATGAGGCGCCGCGCCGACTCCTGCCGGGCTGCTACAGCTGGGCCCGGACGCTGCTCTGCTTCCACCGCTCCTATCCCCTATCGCTGGGATCTTGTCCCGACTTCGCCGCGATTCGATACCTTCCGTTGCAACATAGATCCTACTATGACATCAGTGTTTGCGTTCCGGGTTCCAAAGATCTGCCCTGCCATTGAGGGCGAGTACTGAGCAAACGCCCAGTGAGCCAGGACGTTGACTAAGCAGGACGAGAATGCTGCTGCTTACACCGCATCAGGATGGCTCCGTCCATCCCGCATCACGACGGCCGTCCCTGCCGCATCACGGCTGACTCACTCACTCGGTGAGTGAGGATGTAAGGGGATATTACCACTTGTAAGGGGATGGTGGCCCACTCACTCGGTGGGCCACCATCCCCTTACAAGCGGTAATAGTCATCTCATCTTATCCCTGGATTTGTTCGACTGCTAACGAGCATACCGCGCTTATGTAAAGGATGGTATCTGTCATTCGGTGCGCACGCATGCGCCGCCTGATCGTGTCCAACTGCCGAGACCACAGCCCCGAACCAGCTCTCACGAGGCGGGACTACTCAAGAGCCTCGGCAGGTTACCGGACACCGCACGCATGCGCCGCCCGGTCGTGTCCAACTGCCGAGACCACAGCCCCGAACCAGCTCTCACGAGGCGGGACTACTCAAGAGCCTCGGCAGGTTACCGGACACCGCACGCATGCGCCGCCTGATCGTGTCCAACTGCCGAGACCACAGCCCCGAACCAGCTCTCACGAGGCGGGACTACTCAAGAGCCTCGGCAGGTTACCGGACACCGCACGCATGCGCCGCCCGGTCGTGTCCAACTGCCGAGACCACAGCCCCGAACCAGCTCTCACGAGGCGGGACTACTCAAGAGCCTCGACAGGTTACCGGACACCGCACGCATGCGCCGCCCGGTCGTGTCCAACTGCCGAGACCACAGCCCCGAACCAGCTCTCACGAGGCGGGACTACTCAAGAGCCTCGGTAAGTTACCGGACACCGCACGCATGCGCCGCCTGATCGTGTCCAACTGCCGAGACCACAGCCCCGAACCAGCTCTCACGACGCGGGACCACTCAGGAGCCTCGGCAGGTTACCGGACACCGCACGCATGCGCCGCCTGATCGTGTCCAACTGCCGAGACCACAGCCCCGAACCAGCTCTCACGAGGCGGGACTACTCAAGAGCCTCGGCAGGTTACCGGACACCGCACGCATGCGCCGCCCGGTCGTGTCCAACTGCCGAGACCACAGCCCCGAACCAGCTCTCACGAGGCGGGACTACTCAAGAGCCTCGGCAGGTTACCGGACACCGCACGCATAGGACACCAGCGACGCGGCCGGCGACCTGCGTCAATCGTGACCATGCCCCAACTTTTCCGTTAATGGGTATCATTATGAATTTGTAGCACTAGGCACATTGAAATGTGACGGCAAATGAAGTGAACAAAACGCAACACATAACATAAACCCTCAACGGACGTCACCGCCCAGTTTTTTTTCTGCAGCACTGGGCTCAGCCCCTACAGGAGGTCTACGCATGCCGGCTCCAAGACCGTAATGCAGCACAGACGCACTACACAAAAGACTCCATACGCGTCTTCCTCGCTTTTTAGGGAGATTCGTTCTATCAAAAGACCGCTCTGTTTCTCGAGCGCGCGTCAACTGCGGGCTACTTTAAATAGCCAAACGGCTTCGGCTTCGTCATCAACTCCAGAGCGGCTTCACAATGCAAATCTGATTCGTTTTTTGTGGCCGTAACACCGAGGCCTTAAATGCACCATAACAGCACGTACCACTGTGCGAAACTAGCCTCCCGCAGTGCTCATGCTAAGGCTAAGATTGCAAAAATATTGCAACGTATTGCAAGAGCCAACCGGTGGCAAAAATAAGAATGTCATATGTACTGCATGCTACCAATGTGATGAGCTTGAATGACAGCTCTTTATCCGTGGACACTTTCCTTTTGATGATTTTCCGCGCACAATACGAGTAAGAACTACATATCCTGTTAATTTACCCGAACGTCAAGCTGATCGACTGGTCCTCATCGCCAACAGATCTACAGACTAACAGAACCCTAGATCGAGACGACAACAGATCTACAGACTAACAGAACCCTAGATCGATACAACAGATCTACAGACTAACAGAAACCTAGATCGATACGCTGGTGGACTGCATACCAACAACACATTAGGATGAATCAAGCAGACTCCCGGCCAACAAACAGCCGAGCCGACAGGCCCCACAGGGCTGGCAGACTACCAGGGTGACAACCGCCAGGCCCCACAGGGCTGGCGGACTACCAGGGTGACAACCGACAGGCCCCACAGGGCTGGCAGACGACCAGGGTGACAACCGCCAGGCCCCACAGGGCTGGCGGACTACCAGGGTGACAACCGACAGGCCCCACAGGGCTGGCGGACTACCAGGGTGACAACCGCCAGGCCCCACAGGGATGGCAGACGACCAGGGTGACAACCGACAGGCCCCGGAGCGCTGGCAGACTGCCAGGATGACAACCGACAGGCCCCACAGAGATGGCAGACGACCAGGGTGACAACCGACAGGCCCCACAGGGCTGGCGGACGACCAGGGTGACAACCGACAGGCCCCAGAGCGCTGGCAGACTGCCAGGGTGACAACCGACAGGCCCCACAGAGATGGCAGACGACCAGGATGACAACCGACAGGCCCCACAGGGATGGCAGACGACCAGGGTGACAACCGACAGGCCCCAGAGCGCTGGCAGACTGCCAGGGTGATAGGCATGCTCATTCCATCGACAGACCTAACCGCCAGATCACGTTCACAACTGACCAACATGCATACTACCGGGCTGCTAGACCAACGAACTACGCTGAATCACCATCAGAGGGACTCAACGGCAGACAAATACAGCACCAGACCGGCAGTCCACAGGCCAACAGACCACCGGACGGCGGTCCACTAGACCGGCAGGCCGGCAGTCCACCGGCCAACAGACCACCGGACGGCGGTCCACTAGACCGGCAGGCTGGCAGAGCACCGGCCAACAGACCACCGGACGGCGGTCCACTAGACCGGCAGACCGGCAGTCCACCGGCTAACAGACCACCAGACGGCGGTCCGCTAGACCGGCAGGCCGGCAGAGCATCGGACGGCGGTCCGCTAGACCGGCAGGCCGGCAGAGCTCCCCATCGACGGACCGCCATCGGCTGACGCACCTCGAAGTAGCTGGCCGTCTGCGGGTTGAGGCCGGCGGGTGGCGTGGCGGCGCCGTTCCCAGCGCCGGCGGCCGCGCAGGCGCGACGCAGCTGCGACATGCTGATGGCGGATGCGTCCGACTGAGAGCGTTGGATCTGCTGCGTGTGCCGCGAATGCTCCCGGATGGCGGCGAACAGCTCGGTCACCTGGCGGCGGGGCGGCTCAGGTCAGCGTCAGGCCAGCTGGCGGCGGCTGGCTCAGGTCAGCGTCAGGCCAGCTGGCGGCGGCTGGCTCAGGTCAGCGTCAGGCCAGCTGGCGGCGACTGGTTCAGGTCAGCGTCAGGCCAGCTGGCGGCGGCTGGCTCAGGTCAGCGTCAGGCCAGCTGGCGGCGGCTGGCTCAGGTCGGCGTCAGGCCAGCTGGCGGCAGCTGGCTCAGGTCAGCGTCAGGCCAGCTGGCGGCGGCCGGCTCACGCTGCTGATGACACAGCCGACGCCCAGAGGCCATCACTGGATAAGACCGACCGGCACCTGGCGCAACACCCCCCGCCGCAGCCGCCGGCCAGCAGGTCGGATGCACGGGAGCAATGGCCGCCGACTGGCCGTCTGCCAGACATCAGATGAATCAGGGTTCAAAAACAATGGTACGAGGTATAGGTGAGTCAGTCACCGGACTTGAATGATTGGACGACAGACAGCATATCTATCAATTCAACAACAGGATCATACCCTCCTGATCATACCCTCCTGATCATACCCTCCTGAACATACCCTCCTGATCATACCCTCCTGATCATACCCTCCTGATCATACCCTCCTGATCATACCCTCCTGATCATTTCGCCCGGTCGCCTCCCTGACGAGACGCACAGACATATCAATCAGAAAGGCTGCCAAAGCTCCAGAGACGTGAGCAGGTTGGTGTGCGCCCACATTATGACTATCAAAGCGGTGCCATTTGGGGCTTGACACGCGCGCCGGTGTAGCCTTGATGGTATCCTATCAGCATGGTCTCCGCTTACAAGCTGGTCGCAGGTTGCGATATGGTCGCAACCTAAGCAAGGCAAGCACAATCATATTAAATCAGCTCGGGTGGAAAATTAGTTTTTTCAGTGCTTCATGCGCGTAAATGTGAGCGGCAGTGTGTGTTTTCACACTACCGCATTGAGATTAAGGAAATGAAATTCGCACATGATGAAAAAAGGCGGGATGATATGAACAAGGACAGGATCAAACACCATTCTCAGCGTGACATTCTTTCATCCCTTGTGTTTTTACAACACAAGGTTTGCTGCCATCAACGACGGCGGAATCAAATAATGTTATCTCAGCGCCATATTCCTTCCTTGTTGCGCAGTGTGGTGTTTTCTTCTCTCCTTACAAATGCATGAATTTTCTTTGTTTAGGTTTCAAAGTGGTGCCTTACATGAGGTACGTACTACAGAAAGGGTGGCTTGAGCTCATAAACCCGGCAGCAGACGAGTCATGACGTCATCACTGGGCGGTCATCAAAGCCGCCCCCGGTGGCCTGGCGGTCTGACGGCACGGTGTCGGCGGCCACACCGCCCACCAGGCCACCACCGAGACATGCAGAGGACAGCCGCACCTCCCACCAGGCCACCACCGAGACATGCAGAGGACAGCCGCACCGCCCACCAGGCCATCGCCGAGACATGCAGAGAACAGCCGCACCGCCCACCAGGCCATCGCCGAGACATGCAGAGACAGCCGCACCGCCCACCAGGCCATCGCCGACACGCAGGACACCCGCGCCGCCCACCAGGCCATCGCCCGACACGCAGAGAACAGCCGCACCGCCCACCAGGCCATCGCCGAGACACGCAGGGGACACCCGCGCCGCCCACCAGGCCATCGCCCAGACACGCAGAGAACAGCCGCACCGCCCACCAGGCCATCGCCAAGACACGCAGGGGACACCCGCGCCGCCCACCAGGCCATCGCCCAGACACGCAGAGAACAGCCGCAACGCCACCGACGGCTAGGCCTAGACCCGGGCCCACACCAACTATGTCATCTCGCATGATTTGCATAAAGTGTGGTACTCACTTCATAACCCTCGTAAGCTACGACACGTGCAGCACAAGAACGAAAGCCATTTGATTGAAACGAAAACGCGCCTAACCACGAAGGTGATGAAAATATTCATGTCATGCTTGATGCTCATGCCCACCCAGTACACTTCGCTAAGTCAACTCATGGACATGAAAACGCAGATGTGTTACGTTTCTCAGATGACCGAACCTCATCTTTGTCATGTGGACAACAATGCATTTGGGTCGTTATTTCGTGAACTACTGCACACGACCACATGGTTCCGATGGCATCATGGCCTACGGGCAGGTGAGACAACGACTCAGGTCGCCAGACTTAGGGACGACTGTTACAGTAATCTAAAAAAAAAACGATAATGGATTCACCGTGCGTAAGCGATAGTGATTATTTTTTTCCATATAGCCATTTAGCAGATGTCACGAGCCGGCCCAGAGATTGGAGATGGTAGAGAGCTCGGGGGCTGAGAAAGGGGAGTGAGTGCCCGCCGTAGTGTTTGTTGCGGAAATATCTGAGATCTCGCGTGACCCAACAGACTTTACTGCGATATGCGTATGTTCGCGCGTCGTCGTTATCGTTTTAATCATGTTGCTAATGCTAACAATCACAGAAAAGTACTCAGTTTCCGGACATGTCAAGTCATCTTGCTCTATAGCTATAAGCACTACCATGACGGCGGACTTTTCTCCACCCCCCCCCCCCCCCCCTTCCTAGAGACAGAGTTCAGCCCCCGGACAACACAGAGACCTACCTGAGTGTCTCATATATAGTATGCACTCATGAAAATTTTGTTCGTATGCTTGACCCGTGCGCCAGGCCGCGCCGTGCGCCGGCCGAACGGCACGGCTGGGGTAGACCGGGGCGGCCCGCCGGCGCCACCGCTGCCCTCCGCCGCTTCCCCGCTCGTCAACAGACGGCCGGCGCCTCGGCGCGCCTCATTGAAATGACCGGCAGCGGGCGCAAGTGCGTCGCAAGGCCAAGGACAGCACAGGGCGGTGTTGTGTCGCCAAGACGCTGTTGCTGTGCGCTGCAACAGCCTTCACAGAAGCGGGCAAGGCACGGCGCCAGGAATTCCGTAGGCTCCGCCCACGCCAAGGGGGCACACCTCTCTGTAGGTCATGATACGAGAGCACGCGCCGGGCCGGTCGACCGCCCGACGACCAGGTCACCCGCCGGCCGGCGGTCACACCATGTCAGCCAGAGCCGCTGGTGTCAGGACACCGGCGCCTCCAGTAAGCCATGGATTCACAGGCGGGCCGAACTGGATGCCGCTCGCCCAGCTACTGGCCACCTGGGGCCAGCAGTTCGGCACTGGGCACGTCGAAAGCGCTGACTGGTAGCAGGCCGAGCCCAGCCCATCTCTGGACAACAGCTTCTCGTTTGTGGTTAGTGGCATGCATCTTATGAAGCGTTCAACAAAACGTAATGCGTCTTATAGGTAATGCATTAGCGTTGGCATGTACACTTTGCCCCGTTCTTATCTGGCGTCATCGCATCCGTATTAGGAGCGACGTATCACAAACAGAACTACCGTGATCCAACGTCACCGAGGCGCGCTCATGCTCGGCGCCGCGTCAGTGATCGGCAGCGAAGCAAGCGATGCCGGCGCCGCCGGAACGCCAGGATATTCTCGGCACAGCGTTCAGCTAATTCAGCGTTAGTCCTCCCGTCCTGAAAACAAATCGCACCGGTTGGAAAACATAAATCAATTTCGGTGGTAAGTGTACGTAAGATCTTTACAGGTGAGGCGTTTTCGCGGCTCGAGGTTTTCACGTTCCAGACTGCAAGTTCTTTAACACAAATTTCGTCCAACACGGTATGTAAAATATAGAGATGCTCTTACTGTTACTTTCAAAAAGAACACGACCATAAGATCGTCTCCACGTCCGGATATCTTTTCATATCCCGTACGCTCAGCCGAAAGGTAATTCTGTGCCGCAACTGCAACGTATTGGATGTGGCATTCAATCCCGCCGCAGCCGACGCTACAGACACGCATGTAGTTTCCTATTCAGCTTAGGGAGGCTGCCGTGTCGCTCCTACACATCCGCAGTGATATCTTCCAGAAACATAAGCCATGAAAGTTGATAGCGAACACATAGGTACATTTTGTGGGCATATCAATGCATAAATGTAAAGAATCTATTCAAACACTCATTTCAAAATGTGCAGCCCCTTGAGTAATATATCTGACTTATCCCCCCTACAGCCTCTATTCAGGTCTAACAATCTAGAAAATGTTTCCTTCTTATATCACCACCATGATGGGGGCTGCACGTAGCCCAAATATTTTGGTGGTTATAAAGGAGATGACTTCCTGAATGGGGAAGATATTTAGCAAAAAAGTTGTGAACACCATAATCAAGGATATCTCTCTATCACAAAGCTCAACGTGCGTTCAACCAACGGAAAATTGAGACTGCTCCAAACTATATGACACAAATATATTGCGTGCAGTCGTACTCGACAAATCACAAACATCCCACGAGCAAGCTGCATACAGCACCAATCAAGGAAGAACACCATAAGGTGTGGCGGGAGATGCCGGCTGAACTAAGCCCCCCCCCCCCCCCCCCCCGGAAGACGGTCAAAGTCGGGTACAACATGACAATTTTTGGATTGTGAGAAAAATGTATCAATTGGAGCCCGTCTATCAAACTTTGTTTTAGAACACTCCTCGCGATACGAGATGGCAAAATCCGAAGAACTATTTTTTCATCAGAAGCCGTTTCTGGATTTTGCTCCCCCACCGGCGCTGCCTGCCCCGCCAAGGCGGGCTTCTGGACCCGCCTTGTGTGGCATGTCATGGAAAAGAAATGCTTATGATATTCGCTGAGATGTATGCCTGGAACTGTCCAGTGTCCACTTCTTCAAACTCGCCTCGCTGATTTGCCGTGAGTGCCTTAAACTATTGGTTTTTAATGTTATCACCATAAAATGGATACGGCATTAATTTTGTGTGATATCTGTGCTGGACTTGGAGCAAAAACTCGAAAACTTATCAAGAATATATTGCAAATCTATAAACCACAAAGCCCCAAGCAGTTTGACCCAGAGTTTCCGATATACCAGGTCAGGGAGGTCCAAACGCTCCGTGTTTCCACTGTCGAGCTGCCATGAGTCCAGGCGGTCGCCGCTG